ACAGGTATGGTTGAGGGATTATTTATAGTTCTAATTATAATTATTTTTTTTGAATAGAGTTGTTATCAGGTTCAAAGATTGAAGAAGATAATTTTTCTTCACATTTTATTGATGAACACCAAGCAAAGTTCACATTGTCAAAGAGTTTTAAGTTTTAATGTGAGTAATTTTGGTTTTTACACCACTGAATGTTAATGTGGAGGTCTTTTTTTTATTAATTTGTTTTTGTATTAAAATAATTGTAAAAGATAGGTATAAAAGAATAGAAATAGATTATTTATAATATTGTGATCCGATAAATCATGTGTGTAGAATTTTATCTTTAGTAGTTTTTTTAGTAAGAATTTTAACTACTACTTTTAGTAGTAGTTAAAATTCTTTAATATCGTAGCCTTTTACAGGATAAAGTTTTAGCTGATTTAAAAAGTAGGTTTTCCAAAATATTATGGCAACTTCTACGATGGAGTAATAAAAAAACTTACATGTATTTTTGGAATTTTAGTTTAAGTTACTCAAGCATAATTTGAATTTTAAAGTTCTTATTTCATTGTTTTGCTATTTGGTTTTATGAGCTAAATATGTTAATCAATCTTTTTATTCTTGTTTGTAGAGATGCAAAATGTTATTCTCAACGAGCTTGCAGAAATAAAAGTTTTTTTAAAAGAAGTTATAGAAATTAAGGTTCAGACTACTGGGGTGAAGTTGCTAGAATCGGTGGACGAAGTGGCTACACTGGATAATAAACTAAAAGATAAAACCGAGTATACTAGATTGGTATAATCTAATTATCTTAGTTTTTAATAAGTTTGTTTAAATTCGGTTTATTAGTTTAGAATCTAAATAAAAAGTATTTGTAAATGAACTAAAATAACTAGCTTGTGTTAGACTCAATATGTTGTAAAGAAATTTAAGTTACACAAGTTTTTATTACATTTATTTCAGCTTGATAGTTTAAAAAAGATTGGTGGTGGAAAGCCAAGAGAACATGTTTTTTTGATCATGTAAAAGTAAATGATTATGTTTTTATTAATTATTAGAAATATGATTAAAAGGGACCAAAAGCAATTCTTTTTGACCGTTATTTGTTTTGGATTTACTTTTAACATGACAATTTGATAAACTCGGGAGCTTCGCTGTAGGTGTTTAAGTTTGTTTATGTGCTAAAGTAAGTGTAATGCTAAACCTTGTTTAGCATTTTATTTTCAAATTTAATGCTTTTACCTTTCATATTTTTAAGCATTCATATATTAAAATATATTTTAATTTGATACATATATTAAAATAAAAATCTTTATATATTTCAGTTTATTGTTAAAATATTTATCAGGTTATTTTCGAATCAGTTACATTCCAAATTAAATCGAAAAAGAAATGGGGAAAAGACAAGCTTAGAAAATCTAGTAAATATATGGAGTGTTTTACGAAGTATAGTTTTAATAGTATTTACAAAACTGATATCTGTATTAAAAAGATATTCTTCAACTTTTTTGTATCATGCTAGAATTTTTGTATCCATAATATAAGTTCCTTTAGTTTTTTCATAAAAAAATGGTTGTTTATTATTGTATCTGGTTGAGATACAAATCTTCTTGTTTATATATATATTTATATATATATATATATATATATATATATATATATATATATATATATATATATATATATATATATATATATATATAAATATATATATATATTCATATATATATATATATATATATATATATATATATATATATATATATATATATATATATATATATATATATATATATATATAAATATATATACATATATATATATATATATATATATATATATATATATATATATATATATATATATATATATATACATGTATATATGTGTATATACAGTATTGGACAAAACATTTGCAACCAACATCGAACAATGCTAAAAAGTGTTCCAAATTTTATGTCTTGAAAATGAAACGAACTATACTCCCACAGCAAACAGTTCAGGAGTTTGGACTCATAGCATGCCATAATATGAGCAATCAGCTGACAGGTGACAACACACAGGCAGAATTTCGTTGACAAGTGCCATTTTGCAGCATACATCACGGAAGTTTTTTAATAATTGAAGGAAGTATCCAGAAGTTTCCAGTAGCATGCAGAAGCTTCCAGAAGTTTCCAGAAGAAGCATCAGGAAGCATCCAGAAGTATCCAGAAACATTCAGAAGAAGTGAGTTTTGTCAAAGTGTTTTATCGAAGAACATCAATGCCAGAAGTGAAATACAAAAAGTGTTTCATTACATCAATACAGTCCACATCCAACCAAGACGTTATGTTCCGCAGAGCAATATTTTATCATCACAAGGTAAATGTAACACAGTAAGCCTTGAGAAGTCTGGTTATTTATTATTATTTTTTTTATGACTTCAAGTGCAAAAATGGTTTCTGACAGTCTTGGATTGGAACTAAGAGAGAAAATTATTTGCGATTACTTAAGTGGATTGTCACAAAAAAATATTTGTGATAAATATGGCGTGAAAAAAATAGATCGTATTAAGATTATGTTCCAAATATTGTTCCACAGGGAAGTTGGCAGCAGATAACAATGGTGGAAGACCTCGTTCCACCATTTCTAGAGAGAATTCTATGATTGTCAGATCTGTCAAGAAGGATCCCTGGATATCATCAGTTGAGATACGAATGCAATTAGAGCTGCTTGTACGTCAAGCGGCCGGAAAATGCATTAATTAGCGTTACTGCCATAAGACTGTGAAGCATGGTGGAGGCAATGTGATGGTCTGGGGGTGTTTTTCTACTAATGGTCTAGGTCCAATACATCGAATCGATGGAATAATGGACCGTTTCATGTATAAAAATATTCTGAAAGACGTTATGTTACCTCATGCTGAATGGAATATACCAATAAAATAGGTTTTTCAGCAAGACAACGATCCTAAACACACTGCACAAGTAGTCAAGCAGTGGTTTCAAAACAACCATCTATTAGTGATGGATTGGACGCCTCAATCTCCGGATCTCAACCCTGTCGAGAACCTGTGGGAGATTGTCAACCGCAGAGTTTATCATGAATGTGTTCGTAATAAAGATCAACTGTTTGAACAAATCCAAAAAACCTAGGCAGCGATTCCACAAAGTTTCATTGATCACCTGATCGAATCTATGCCTTAAAGATGCAAGGCTGTGATCGACAACAAAGGATTCACCACAAAATATTGATATGAATACAGCTTGGTCAACCTTTTGTGGAGTTGTCCAGAAGGAAATCAACTTTCTTTTATACTTTTGATTAATTTATTAATTTTCGTGTACAAATAATGAACTTCGTGATGAATAAAATTTGAAGAACGTTGTCTCTAAACAGTTACATAGTTATTTCTCTAAATTGAAAAAATACAGCACTTTTATACAAAGAAACTAAATAAGCATCATTTGGTTACACTGGTTTTGTCCGATACGGTATGTGTGTGTGTATATATATATATATATATATATATATATATATATATATATATATATATATATATAATATTTCATAAAAATAGATTCAGAATTCTACATGTCTTTTAAAGTCATTTAAATGTCATTAATGTATATATTTTAGATATCGGTGACGTGGAAGAAAATGTTGACGGCAATGCAGAAATATAGTTTCTTATGTATATTTTTGTGAAATAAAAATTAAGTAATGTTAGTTAAAATGTTTCTTTACTTATTTAATTTAATCCTTTTTTATGACTAATTTAACCCCTGTAACACCTTTGTATCAAACAAGTTCCAGCAAAGAAAGAGATATCTAAAATGCATCTAATATGCATCTAAAAACTGGTCTAAAAGACGTCTAAATTCACGTCGTGAACGGGACATAAATAGATGTCTATCTTATAGATGTCTTTTAGATGCATTTTATTCGACACAAATAAATGCCTTAGATGCATAAAAGATGTGAAATATACATTTAAAGATGTATATTAGATGTATATTAGATGCATAAAAGAGCTATTATTAACTAAAAAATTATCTATTATCTATCTTTTTTAAACGCGCCTTAGACATCTATTTAAGAGACGTATTTTATACATCTAATATGCATCTGTAAGATGTATATTTTACATCTTTTATGCATCTAAGGCAATTATTTGTGTCGAATAAAATGCATTTAAAAGACATTTATAAGATAGACGTCTATTTATGTCCCGCTCTAGACCTGAATTTAGACATCTTTTAGATCAGTTTTTAGATGCATATTAGATGCATTTTAGATATCTTTTTGTTTGCTGGGTTAGAGCCTAATTCGCATGCAATTAAAGCTGCTGTGGCAGCCCTTTAAATCTGATAGTTATTCACGGTAAGCAATAAAGTATAATATTTTAAATCAAATTAACTGCGGAAAATAAATTTCAATAAACTGGTCACTTTGCTTATTCCCAGCAAACAAAAAGATATCTAAAATGCATCTAATATGCATCTAAAAACTGGTCTAAAAGATGTCTAAATTCAGGTCTAGAACGGGACATAAATAGACGTCTATCTTAGAGACGTCTTTTAGACGCATTTTATTCGACACAAATAACTGCCTTAGATGCATAAAAGATGTGAAATATACATCTTACAGATGCATATTAGATGTATAAAATACGTCTCTTAAATAGATGTATAAGGCGCGATTAAAAAAGATAGATAATAGATAATTTTTTAGCTAATAATAGCTCTTTTATGCATCTAATATACATCTAATATGCATCTTTAAATGTATATTTCACATCTTTTATGCATCTAAGGCATTTATTTGTGTCGAATAAAATGCATCTAAAAGACATCTATGAGATAGACATCTATTTATGTCCCGTTCACGACGTGAATTTAGACGTCTTTTAGACCAGTTTTTAGATGCATATTAGATGCATTTTAGACATATTTTTGTTTGCTGGGACGTGTTTGATACAAAGGTGTTACAGCGGTTAAATTAGTCATAAAAAAGGATTAAATTAAATAAGTAAAGAAACATTTTAACTAACATTACTTAATTTTTATTTCACAAAAATATACATAAGAAACTATTTTTCTGCATTGCCGTCAACATTTTCTTCCACGTCGCCGATATCTAAAATATATACATTAATGACATTTAAATGACTTTAAAAGACATGTAGAATTCTGAATCTATTTTTATGAAATATTATATATATATATATATATATATATATATATATTATATATATATATATATATATATATATATATATATATATATATATATATACATACATACATATATATATGCATATATATACATATATATATATATATATATATATATATATATATATATATATATATATATATATACATACATACATATATATATGCATATATATACATATATATATATATATATATATATATATATATATATATATATATATATATATATATATATTTATATATATATATATATATATATATATATATACATATATATATACCCATAAATTATATATATATATATATATATATATATATATATATATATATATATATATATATATATATATATACACATACAGTATCGGACAAAACCAGTGCAACCAAATGATGTTAATTTAGTTTCTTTGTATAAAAGTGTTGCATTTTTCAATTTAGAGAAATAACTATGTAACTGTTTAGAGACAACGTTCTTTAAATTTTATTCATCACAAAGTTCATTATTTGAACACGAAAATTAATAAATTAATCAAAAGTATTAAAAAAAGTTGATTTCCTTCTGGATAAAAAAAGTACAACTCCACAAAATGTTGACCAAGCTGTATTTTGCTATCAATATATTGTGGTGAATCCTTTGTTATCGATCACACCCTTGCATCTTTAAGGCATAGATTCAATCAGGTGATCAATGAAACTTTATGGAATTGTTGCCTAGGCCTTTTGGATTTGGCTACTTGACGTACAGGCAGCTTTAATTGCTTTTGTATCTCAACTGATGATATCCAGGGATCCTTCTTGACAGATCTGACGATCAAAAAATTCTCTCTAGAAGTGGTGGAACAAGGTCTTCCACCATTGTTATCTGCTGCCAACTTCCCTGTGGAACAATAATTGGAACATAGTCTGGATACGATCTATTTTTTCACGCGATATTTATCACAAATACTTTTTTGTGACATTCCACTTAAGTAATCACAAATAATTTTCTCTCTTAGTTCCAATCCAAGACTGTCAGGAACCATTTTTGCACTTAAAGCCATAAAAATAACAAAAATAAATAATCACGCTTCTCCAGGCTGGAAGCTTCTCTAAGCTTCTGCATGCTTCTGGAAACTTCTGGATGCTTCCTTTAATTATTAAAAAACTTCTGTGACGTTGACACGGACCAGACTTGAGAAAATGAAACAAACCAAAAAAGTTGCACTTGTTTTGTATGCTGAAAAATGGCACTTGTCAACGAAATTCTTCCTGTGTGCTGTCACCTGTCAGCTGATTGCTCATATCATGGCATGCTATGATTCCAGACTCCTGAACTGTTTGCTGTGGTAGTATAGTTTGTTTCATTTTTAAGACATTTAAAATTAGGAACACTTTTTAGCATTGTTCGATGTTGTTTGCAAATGTTTTGTCCAATACTGTATATACACATATATACATGTATGTATGTATATATATATATATATATATATATATATATATATATATATATATATATATATATATATATATATATATATATTATATATATATATATATATATATATATGTATATATATATATATATATATATATTATATATATATATATATATATATATATATATATATATATATATATATATATATATATATAAACCAGATAATTTGTATCTCAACCAGATACAATAATAAACAACAATTTTTTTATGAAAAAACTAAAGGAACTTGTATTATGGATACAAAAATTCTAGCATGACACAAAAAAGTTGAAGAATATCTTTTTAATATAGATATCAGTTTTGTAAATACTATTAAAACTATACCTCGTAAAACACTCCATATATTTACTAGATTTTCTAAGCTTATCTTTTCCCTATTTCCTTTTCGATTTAGTTTGGACTGTAACTGATTCGAAAATAACCTGATAAATATTTTAACAATAAACTGAAATATATTTATAAAGATTTTGATTTTAATATATGTAATAAATTAAAATATATTTTAATATGTGAGTGCTTAAAATTATGAAAAGTAAAAACATTAAATTTAAAAATAAAATGCTAAACAAGGTTTAGCATTACATTTAGTTTAGCACATAAACAAACTTAAACACCTACAGTGAAGCTCCCAAGTTTATCAAATTGTCATGTTAAAAGTAAATCCATAACAAATAACGATCAAAATGAACTGCTTTTGGTCCCTTTTAATCATATTTCTAATAATTAATAAAAACATAATTATTTACCTTTTCATGATCAAAAAAACATGTTCTCTTGGCTTTCCACCACCAATCTTTTTTAAACTATCAAGCTGAAATAAATGTAATAAAAACTTGTGTAACTTAAATTTCTTTACAACATATTGAGTCTAACACAAGCTAGTTATTTTACTTCATTTACAAATACTTTTCATTTAGATTCTAAACTAATAAACCAAATTTAAACAAACTTATTAAAAATTAAGATAATTAGATTATACCAAATTAGTATACTCGATTTTATCTTTTAGTTTATTATCCAGTGTAACCACTTTGTCCACTGATTCTAGCAACTTCACCCTAGTAGCTTGCAACTTAGTTTCTATAACTTCTTTTAAAAAAACTTTTATTTCTGCAAGCTCGTTGAGAATAACATTTTGCATCTCTACAAACAAGAATAAAAAGATTAACATATTTAGCTCATAAAACCAAATAGCAAAACAATGAAATAAGAACTTTAAAATTCAAATTATGCTTGAGAAACTCAAACTAAAATTCCAAAAATACATGTAAGTTTTTTTATTACTCCATCGCAGAAGTTGCTATAATATTTTGGAAAACCTACTTTTTAAATCAGCTAAAACTTTATCCTGTAAAAGGTTACGATATTAAAGAATTTTGTTTAACTACTAAAGGTAAAATGCTACACACGTGATTTATTGGATCACAATATTATAAATAATCCATTTCTATTCTTTTTTACCTATATTTTACAATTATTTTAATACAAAAACAAATTAATAAAAAAGACCTCCACATTAACATTCAGTGGTGTAAAAACCAAAAATACTCATATTAAAACTTTAAACTCTTTGAAAATGTGAACTTTGCTTGGTTTTATTCTGTTCATCAATAAAATGTGAAGAAAAATTATCTTCTTCAATCTTTGAATCTGATAACAACTCTATTCAAAAGAAATAATTATAATTAGAACTATAAATAATCCCTCAACCATACCTGTTACTTAATTTAATCTTTCAACCAATTTTGTACTCTTTCAATTTCTGAATTTAAACAATTTCAGCATGCTTTCAATCAATTTTCAATTTTCATATCAAGTCGATTAAAGGATTATTTAATACAATAGAATGTTGTCAATCATATAAATATATGTAACCAATTTAACAACATTACATATAATAGGACACCCAAATAGTTAAAATAAAAGGAAAATCTTAGTAATACATAAAAAAGACTAATAGCTAGATAGATATTATTCAGATCAAATTGAACAAGAATCTATTTCAGTTTATAAACCATTAAGAAAAAATTATGATATTTGTGTTATACTTTTAGCATTGGGCTTATTCATAATAGGTGGCGGAGGTTCTGGCAATAAAGAGCAGTATGATTTGTTATTTTTATTTTTAATGCTTTCTTTAACATATATTTCATCTGATGTAGAAAGTTGCATTTTTCACAACATGAAAATGAATCTAATTATAAAACCTTTTGCTACAAAAAAGTAATTAAGTTACCTTTAAAAAAAAAAAAAACAAGTTAGATACTGACTATATGTTATCTTACACTTTATCAATGAAAATTTGTGCCATTCTTTTGTTGACGAAAGGTTGTTTTTCAGTGCATGATTATAGTTTTTTTTTGGGACAATAAATTTGTTACTATTCTTTGTCAATCCACTTGTTTAGTGCATAATTACTTGGTTAGAAAAACATGCAGAAAAACTTTCCTTTAAAGTTGGGTTATGCTTATACTCATTAGGCTTTTGGTCATAAGAGTATTCATTGTACAAAATCGATGACTCATGATGGTCAAAATATTCTTTTAGATTTTTGCAAGATAAGAAACCATTTGTTTTAGAAGTTTGTTTTAGAAGTTCGATTTTTTTTCTATATGTACTGATGAAAATTCGAGTATTTTTTAATGTTATTTTTGGACAAGTCTACTTCGTCTCTTTTCGTATGCCCTTTTTGTAAAAGATATAAATGAACCTTGGTTCCTCGATAAAAATGATAAGTGCACAACCAATAAAACAATCTTTTGTGTTATTGAAAAACACTCATATATATATATTATATATATATATATATATTATATATATATATATATATATATATATATATATATATATATATATATATTATATATATATATTATATATATATATATATATATATATATATATATATATATATATATAATATATATATATATATATATATATATATATATATATATATATATATATATATATATATATATATATTATATATAATA